ACATTTAATACATATTGTCCTTTTATTTTGCGACTTTTATTTTGTAAAGCTACAGTATATATTACAGGGACTGTTTTTTTTTTTAACTCAAATGACAGAACTTTAAATACATTTATTTCATTTTGAGTGGAAGGGCTCTGCACACAGACCAGGCCCACCTGAGCAGCGCGCTGTGGTCGTCATGGAGACGARCCAAACAATGTTTTCTGCAGTGACCAATGACAGACGAGCTCGCTCCACGCATGCGCACTGGTGTTAGTTCAGCAGGTCATAAAGGAAGATGTTCAGTAGATATTTGTTTTATTATTTAAAGTTTTAACACTTTAACCTGATACCTGTTAACTTCATATAAAACTTCAACTTGTTAACTTCATAAAAAACATTTCAAACTTTTTATTAACTTCATATAAAACAATATAAACTTATTAACAACTTAAACTTGTTAACTTCATAAAAACATAATATAAACTTGTTATAAACCTGAATCAAACGTGTTCAAACATTCAAACATTATTTCAGGTGTCTCGGTCTGCTCTCCTCCAGCTGGACTCTGGAGACCCTCTGGGTCCGGGTGGTGTAGGGTCCAGGAGGACCCCCGGACCGTCCCTGCTGGTTCCTGCGGGCCCGTCTGCGGCCCTGAGGCTGGCCCTGGCCCTGCAGGTCTTGTTGGACCAGTTTCTGCAGCTCCTGCCTCTGGTTGTGGTCTGCAATACACTGGTCCAGGTGGGGTCCGAAGAGTCCATCTGGACTRATGGGCCCCCGCAGCAGGTCCTGCTTCAGGTCTGCCGGGAGGTGCGGGGCGGTCTGGAGCCACATGCTCCTCTGCAGCAGGGTCTGCCAGGCGGCCACGCGGGACGAGCTCACGGCTTGGACCACACTCAGACTCAGGATGGTGTCCGCGGCGCTGCACAGCTCCTGCTGGTCCTCCGGGGCCAGGTCCAGGTCCCGGACTCTGCTGGAGATCCAGGAGGCCAGCAGGGCCACGTTGTTGCTGGCTGCAGCGGTCTGCAGGGCACACTGGTGGGCCCGGTCTGTGAGCTGGACCAGGAGCCGGTCGCTGCTGGAAGAGGGTGCAGGTTTCCGTCCATGACCCCCTGGGGAGACCCCAAACACAGCCAGGAGTCCAGAGTCCAGAGAAGGGACCCGCGAGAAGCCCTGATCCGTCAGTTGGTCCACCTTGGTGAAGGAGACGAAGGCCTGGACCGGACCCTTCAGCTTCAGGGAGTCTGCAGCAGGACCAGGGAGGTACCGCTTCAATGGCGGGAACTGAGGCCACACCGGGTCCGGGGGTCTGACCGGCGCGGCAAACTGTCCCGCCAACTCATCAGGTGGAGGAACCGGAACCACGGGGACCTGAAGACCTGCAGAGTCCGCCGCTCTGCGGATGATGTCCGGGAGCTTCTGGACCAGCAGACCCAGCTGTGGAAGCGAGGTGACCGGAGACAGGGGGATCCCCGGAGACCCCGAGCGTCCGCTCGGAGGCTCCGCCCCCACCAGGTAGCGGGGAGACCAGGTGCTGGGTTCCCGCCGGGCAGCTTGGAGGTCTGCAGGGAGCAGGTCCTGCAGCCTGAAGAAGACCTGGTCTGGACCGTACCCCTGGAGGGAGATCAAGGTGAGACCCTCCTGCTCGGAGCCGTCCCTGGTGGGGTTCCGGTCAGAACAGGTCCCGGTCCGGCAGAGGTTCCTCCTGCTGATCATGGTGGTCTTCMGTTTTCTGATTGATTTAATGCGATTTGATGCGTCTTCACACGTATTTATACAGACTGCGGTGGGCGGAGCCTGAAGCTGGAGGGCGGGGTGGGCGGAGCCTGCAGCTGGAGGGCGGGGACTAATGTTTTCAGCCCGGCGCCGTGACCTCAAACTGTTCTACGTTCTTAACAAAAACACATTTTGTGCGTCCTGAGCTAAAGACAGGAAACTTTAAATAAAATAAAATACTAATTTAACAAAAACGTCACGTTTTACTCTCATTCTGACGAGTTTTTTTACTCAAACACACAGAAGTATCAAACGGTTTGTACCAACAAAACTGCGAAATGTTTTGAACGAAATGTATCCTGGATCCTCTAAAAG